TAAACATGACTCAACGGAGCTGGGAGTTTTTACACCATCACCAAGCAAGTTTGTTGTGGTGCTAATTTTGGAACCGCTGTTCACTGTCACTTCAAATGAAACCTTGGAATTTCGGAATCCTTTGGTCACCGTAGGAGATGATTTCGTTTGAAAAATGCCAGCATTTGGAATACTGTTTGGGAAGTATCATACGTAAGTTGCTAAATTTCTATCAGTTCTGTAAAATTAAACTGAATTGTCATCGTTAAAAGTTATTTGAAAAACATTTAAGAGAGGGAGAGTTAAAACCCAGGTTTAAGCGACAGTAAATTCGGTAAATGCAAATTCTACAAAGCACAAACACAATGACATACGTTACAGTTAACATGTAAATCTAAATAAGTAATATGAAGACATAAAAGTAATATGGAAGGAGTTAAAACGAACGAGACACATTGGAAACAGGTGCAATGTAAGAAGTGTTTCACTTTTACTGAAAATCTGTAATTACAACAACAAAGGTATTTGTGCATCGAATCGAAAAAAATTCAAAACTTGGTATTGAAAAGAATCAGAGAAAACATCGAACTGTATAAAATCTTCAAAGGTGTTCTCAACTATAAAGAGCCTTTCCTACAGTGTCTGACATTGTAATAATTCCACATCACAACTACTGTTTCTGTGTCTGTCAACTCAATTTTGATCTGTAAGTTTCTCGACACTTTTTGGACAGCCTGTTAGACACTTTTCTTAGTAGTGTGATGTCGCGAGAGTGGTTTAATTCCGAAAATAAAATGCTGTTGCATTATGGACATTAAGAAAACTGGGGAAAAAGTTTTTTGTCTTTTAAAAAACCTTTTACTGGTGATATAATGCAGTTTTCCTGTCCCACAAAGTTAAATTTAAACATCGTTAGTCACTTTTGATGCTGACCGCAATATTCGATTGAATCTTTAACATCTCTAGCTTTCACAATGACACTGTTTCTCAACGCCGAACGCCAGTGTCGTCTGAAACAATAAAGCGCCGCGACCAGACGTGCACGAAGCATTGAAGCGGATTAGCAGGAGTGAATATGCGCTATTTCGATTATTGGAGAAGTGAAAAAACAAACAGACTGACGACAGAGAGTAAAGGTCATGTTCTCTGAACCTTACGTTTACTATCGTGCATTTGCATGTACATGTACATGTCGTTCGAGGAAGTCGAACTATGACCCCAGTCTTCCTGATTATTTTGCTTTATAAGAATATTTTTCAACATAACTCCATTGCTAGTTAATCGTTAATTTTAAGAATAACCGCCAGTTAAACTGTTATATTATTCTTTACTGCTACAAAAATATAGGCCTAGATGTAGCAAATTAAGGCATAAATAAGCCACATTAATCGATTAACCATATACACATAGGGCCTGCATGTACCGTGTACATGCATGGGATGGAATTCCTGTACATGTATTTCCTGGTTGAGTTCTCAGGCTGATGCATTGTTCAACTGAACCTTTGCCATGTACGATCACTATTGTGCTATTCAGTTTCGATTTGTACATGGGTATATTTAGAATAAGAGAAATTCCAGTGCTGGATCGCTTACAGTATCGTCCAGCTCGATCGGTACAGTGACTTTATATCGACAATTCACTTGTTATAAGCACCATCTTTCGTAACAAAACTAGTTGCAGATGTGTCAACGTGTATTTGGTAATATAAAGACACAGGGTGATAGTGAATTCGACTACCAGTACTCAATGTAAAATTCAACATGTGTGTCAGGCTTTTGCACAATGAAAACGCATGTACACTGTACACAATGAAAAATTGCCTGAGTTAAAATTTAACCCAGGGAAGGATGAAAACGGCAACTACCCAAATATGGGCTGTCTTGACCCGATTTGGGGATGAGAATCACTTTCTATTTCATTTTTCACCTACAAATTTGAGTGGATGTTAACCATTGTTTGGTTAAAACAAACCAGAATTAACCTCAATCACCCAACGTAGGTTGAAACAACCCAAACGATTCGGTAATTGCAGTTTTCATCCTCGCTTGCCAGGTTAAATTCAACCCAGGCAATTTTCATTGCATAACGAGTGTAATTCAATGCATCGGAGACATGGCACTTACATTTTTTAGTGCAAAGTACAGGTTTATCCAACCTTAGGCAAAGGTTAAAGGGTCATCAACTCATAATAATTCAAGTAGGTGCACGTTCAATGCTGGGAAGCGTTAAACCCCACTGCAGTGAAGTGTGCAGTCCCGGCGATTCCTGTCACGGTCTCACGGTCCTTTGTTCACCGTTTTTTCTGCTGGGTTAGTTTCGTCGTGCTTACTTCTATTAGTAAACTCGTCAAAACGAAAACAAACCCCTCCCATATCCGCTGTCATTTCATTAAAATTTTTTTTATGTAATCAGCAGTGTAAAAATGCTATGATAGACATTTTAGAAATAAAAGAGTAGGACGTAATTTTATCTTGGCTTATATCATGCACAAATTTATTTATAACTGAGAACATGATCCTGATGTCATCAGAAGAGACAACTGTTTCGGTTTAATAAGGACACTGAGCTCTGCATGCATTATTATGATTACTAGGGCCTACCTGCTTTAGCGACTGACAAAACACAAAAAATTAGTGAATGTAAATTTGATAAAATAAAGCAAAGTCAACTCTCATAATAGCAAAGTTAAAGGGAACAGGCAATTCCCTCGTTATAACCAGGAATTTACTATAAAAGGAATAGAAAAACAAAGGAACAAATAAAAAATTTCGGGTGTTAGAGTATGCTCTTTATAATTTGTTACTATAATTGAAAAATATTGTATTATATGTTATCAAACTGGGTATACAGTATACAGCAGCCAGCAGGTTATTCCAGATGGAGACAATGGGTAATATGCACAAGCACCTGCTTAATTCATTCTGCGTAATTCTATTAATTACCAAATAACCGATGCCATAGCATTGTCAACTTATTTGTGGAAATGCTCAAAGTGAACGTAGCAATTTTCAAGTTCTCAAAGCCGGAAATTGTTAAAAATACCTAGCATGTAGAGTATTCTCTCACTTTTGTTTTCATTTACACTACATTTCATTTTGCACACTATTATCGTTGCAATGCGTACATTAGAAGCATCCATTAAAATCTGTATAAGTAGACAGCTGTTGTCAGTGGCTACTTTTCTTTGATCGTAACTGTCCTTACAAATTTGCTTATTTCCTATATGAAAACAATTCATTCTGTATAATTCCGTACTTTAAACATGTTCTATTTTATTATAAATACCCTGGTGGCAACCCCACAGGGATAAAAGTCTCCACATATCACCAAATATAGTTAGAACTTTTTCCAGTAGGCCAATTTGGCAAAGATTTCATGTATCATGTTCATGATTTCAGACCCCAACCACTGCAGAGTAAGAATTTTTGAAAGATCAGTATATTATAAATTAACCCTAAGGATTATCTCAAAAATAGTCAGGTAGAGAAGTACGTGAAATGCGTACAGTTCCTATCTTTTAATACTGTCCGAGTACACGTATACACGAGCATTGTGTGACAATAACTTTGCCATTAAATACTGAGCTATTAAAATGACGCCATCAACAATTATCGACAACAGTGTACATGTATTCAAACTATATCTCTAACTACTAACTTTTTATAAGCACACCAACTTTACACAAGACAAGTTTATTCGCCAAATTATGGTGCAAAGACGAGTGTCCTGACAGCAAAAAAGAGGAATTTTCAGCTTGGAAAAATCCAAGGATTTTCTTAAAGAACAACTAGAAGGAAGGCGGCGGAAATGTCTATGCCACTACTGTACTGACTTTAGCAATTTTTTTAATAACAAAAGGCAAGACACATCACGAACAATATTCCCCCCCCCTCATTGAAAAAGAACAAGAAAAAAATCAGACCAAAGTTAGACAATCAGACAACTATACAGACACACATTAGTTATTACAAAATAAAAACAGTACAACAATTTCTGTATGGCAACATCACTCTATTCAACCCCAAACCAAGGTTGATCCATCTTGGACTCAAATCCACCTCAACTCAATGACGCTCATCAACGACATCACTGGGCAAAGTTCACATCTTCACATCAAGTGTACTTGTCTGCTACAAAGCTCTCCATCTCGAGATAAACCTGTAATAGCAGAAAAAACTTCTTATAACTTTTTGGGATCCAACTGATTCATTCTGAAAAAAAATCAAGTCATTATTCGATCCTGTCCTTGAGTTACTTAAAATGAGTAAAGTTGGGTTTTATGGTGTAGCGAACAGATATCAACCAGGCAGGAGAGGGTACCATCTATCGCCATTAAAAGCGGGATACTAAGTATGTTATTCATAAGGCCAGTATACAAACTGATTGTATACTGAATTGCGTTACTAGCCTGGGCATCAGGAATCATGATGTCTAAGATCTTCTTCAGATTGTAGAAAGAGGGACGACGAGAGGGTGAGACTCTCCAACATTCCTTCATGACGTTGTAGCTGTAAGAGAATCGAGAAGGATATTCAACATTTCTTGAAGGAGTTCGATCGAGAATAGAAATCCACCATCGGCTTGGAAAATCAATTTCTGTGGCAGCTCTTTTGTCTTGTGTTCAAAGTTTTAGGTAAAACCTGTTCCCTTAAAATGGAAAACATCATGTTCATTGTGCATTTCCTGCGCAGGCCACTGAACTGCAATTCAGCCCGTAGGTCCAGTGTTTGAGTAAAAGAAAGATGCGTGGATGGTAGATTTTTACTCTTTGGAATATACTTTTGGAGTTCATTGTACAAATTTTTCATGTAGCATCTGTATAGCCCACATGCCCAGATTTAACATTTAACTTCAAAAACCACTTACAGTTGGTTGTTGCAATGTAAAGGAGTTGGTAATCGAAAGCCTTCAACCAAGGCGTCAATTATTTCATTAGCAGACATCCCACGATAGGGATGGGCACCTGCGAACAAGGACACGAAAACATAAAACAAAACTCCAGAACCTAGTAAGTGAAGTCCATTCATTGTTTCATGCATAGTATCTTTACACGGTGCAGACATTCTCAAGTTGGTTGAGAGGCATTCCTGGGGTGGAACGGACACTGAGTTTTGCCAGAACTTACCTAGCGTCACTATCTCCCATAGCAAAACACCAAATGACCAGACGTCGCTCATCGTCGTATACACGTTCTCAACGAGACACTCAAGAGCAAGCCAGCGGACAGGAATCAAGCCCTGGATATTATGCCACATAGAAATACTCATAAATAGATGCAAGTTTCAGTAATTACCACTGTAGTTTGCAAATTCAAACAGGAATTCACTAATCGCAACTAAATAAATCGAATTGATCAATATTTTTGTTTCATAAAGTAAAGAAAATTTAGTACAATTAATATCATACTTGCCTGTCACTAATAATGTTGACCTTTAATAAATAAAATTTCAAGCTTTTTAGTCTGTCTACAACTACTTCAAAGAGGCTAAAGTAGGGCTGCAGATTCCNAAAATCGGGGTATTCAATTTCAAATACATGGATTTTACCTATGTTCTCCTAAATAGTCAGCACTTCCTACGAATGCCCCTGACTTGGAATTTCACATTACAAACGAGTAAACTATTCAGTTAGCATTAGCATGAAGTCACTGAAAAAAATTCTAAACAGCCTTCCTGTTGCAAGCGTTTGAGATTCAGTAGTTCAAATGTTTGCGAGGTGTTACGAAGGCTAGTCACTGTACCAGAGAAGTTTTCTCGTATTGTTCCGTCTCTGATACATCGCGCGCTAACCCAAAGTCAGACAGCTTGCAGACTAAGTCCTCACTTAAAAGAACGTTGCGAGTTGCAAGATCACGATGAATGCACTGCAAAAGAAACAAGAAATAGTTTTCAGAAGACGTGACCTTTGATTACGATTTGCCCATCGGAACAATTCTTTGTATATGATGGAGATATTCTGTTTGTTATTTTGTTGGTTGGTTGTTTGTAAGGTTGTTGTGTTGTTTGTTTGTTTGGTTTGTTGGGTTGTTGGGTTGTTGGGGTGTTTGTTGGGTTGTTTGTTTGTTTGTTGGGGTTGTTGGGTTGTTTGTTTGTTTGTTTGTTTGTTTGTTTGTTTGTTTGTTTGTTTGGAGTGCTCACTCCCACTTTGCAGAAATCCAAGCAATCGCTCAAACCAGTTCATTATTCTCCTTGTGTATTGCAAAGAGGGCCATTCAGAATTCAGAGTATCGAAATTTGGTAATAATACAAAAAATATTTGGACGTGGCAAAGGATGATGTTCAGTGTTAGAAAATAGAAAAATGGAAGGATGTAACAAGCTTCAAACAGGATGACATTGCTTTTTGTTCCGTGCTGAACTTTAATGAACTCTAATGAAATTCTTTTTTCAACGTTGTGACTTACTTACCCCCATTGTTGATAGATAGTCCATACCACAAGCAACCTGAGAAGCAAATGTTAGGAGTTGGAAGGGACAAGCAGGAATGTCACCCTCTGTGGTGTTATCACGCCAAGCATCTTTCCTTCCTCTTAGGTATTTTTGTAGGTTGCCTCTTGGAAGATACTCCAGTATTAGGTAGAAAGGTTCTGTGTTTATGCAGTAGGTAAAGGTTTACTTACAGAGGCAACATTTCTTCAAGAGGTGTATGAAAGGGAGGGAGTCCACTTTTATGTACATTATTTTGGAGCCACGCACATAAAGTAGCCATATTTTTCAGTGTACAGCAGCTACTGTGCAGTGGCGTGTTTTGTTTCAAAATCTTCGGGCACAAGTACAACAAATCTTTTTAGCATTCATTGTTACCGAATTCAGTTGAAACTCACGGTTTCATTTTTTTACATAGATTATATTCACAAGATTTTAAAGCTTTATTTACAAATAGTTTGCAAATTTTGTCAAGTTCAGGACAGTGTTAATTTAAAGGTTTAAAACAAGGGGGAAAAGGGGACTAATGAAAAGGGAGCGTAGTTTTCTCCAAAAGATTGAATGCTTGAATGAGGGCAAGCCTCTTCTTTTAGTGTCAATTTGTAAGGCATCATTTCAAAATTCCTATCGGGTGACTATAGGACAGGGCCATCCCACCGATAAGAGTGACTTGTGTTGAGTGAATAATGGAGGGGGGTTGCTCCGTTGAAACCACATAGCCTTGAAGGAATGGCAATCAGTTGGAATTGGCCACTTGAGAACACTTAACCTTATAGCCAACCAATGATAAATGTATCGTTCAGATCCGTTCTGTCCGACACCTACCCGATAAGAATTTTGAAAGGGTGCCTAAGTCATGTGCGATATCGTTCCGACTTTTGCTGTTAACTGAACTTAGTCATTTATTTTGTTTAAATAATGGGGAGACGTTAACGTTTGAGTTAGGCCTTCTCATTACATCAATAAAACTTATGAATGGTTTAGTTAAATCACTCTATCATATTTTTTAATTAATATTTAATCCTAAATGCATGTAAATTAATTAGGAAAACTCGGGAAATCGCAGGGCTGAAACTCTGACTGTGTGCTGGATTGGATTTGACCCCAAGGTTTCAATGTAATCTAATCGGAAACGAAAGTGAAAGTTTGTCATTGATGATTTCAATTGTTTGTTTTCTCATCTGTCACTGCCTTACAAAAATTAAAAGAAACGGTTCATTGTGACCAGGAAATAAACCCTACCCTACACAAAAATCACAAGTTACTCAGAAACAAAATTAAATCCGGTTATTTTACACTGTCACGATAAATTAATCCTAGCTGTTCATGGTTGTTCTAGATTCCTGCGTTTATTGAACAAATATTAAGCTCTTTGTGTTTCGGTGCTTTGGACTCGAAATTTATTAGAGAAAAGATCTCCTCGCTGTCATTCTTATTTAGTAGAAACATTATTGGTAATTTCCATGAATGTAGGTAACATAATTCTGCCCTAACTGGCAGACTAAAAGGTCTTACTACAAAATACCTTTTTCAATGCAGTACCCAAGCATTGACACGATGTTAGGGTGCTTCGTGAGACCTTCCTGAATTTCAATTTCTTTTCTGAATTCAGCAACCACGTCAGCATCAGCTGAAGCTGAAATACCGCAATTAACAGGTTTCACTGAATATGCCGTTCATTAAGATTTTAGACTACTTCCCACTTCGTTTTAATAACGTCATTTAACGTCCTCGAATGACCATGGTGATTCCAATTATAAATTCTGCGAAGTGAGAAAGCAACAATAAACAATCGAATTAAGCTACCCTTAATTAAGCGTCAAACACAACCTTACCCTTTCGAAAAATGCAAGTTTGTCAACACTGTTACATGTAGCTTTGTGAACAAACAGATATCAAACCGTGGAAACCTGGATCATGGAGCTTTAGTTAACCCTTGCTCTCATCAATCGGTGATTTGAAAGTAACAATGACTCACGTTTGATTATTTTGACTGCGACAACTGATTGGACTCCTGAGTTATATATCCCATCAGCCGTTGCCCGATAGACCTGACCGAAGTTGCCGCTACCTAGTACTTCATATAGGGCGAGCTTCGCACGGGAAAAGTTGAAATCTCGATGGTCTGTCCTGAATTCATTGCATTCCCTGCTTGCTCCTTCGTCTTCTTGAACGTTTTGCTGCTGATTTCAGAAAAGAAGCATCTTCGTGTTTAGATGTTGCTTCCATTAACATTGAATCATGGAGAGCACATGAAGATTTTTTTTGGAATTGTTTATTGTTGTCGGATGAAAGGCAAATTTTACACCAGTTTCCATTCTTTCTGAATCACACACAGTTAGTAAGCACGAACGTGATTATAAAAACAGCCCCTTTAAACATTCCTCACACACCCTCAAATCTCAATGCATAATTCCAGTTAAGTTTGGAAAGCGTATGGTTAAAAGAAAACTCCAGGGTTCCGTTTTATTGCCTAGGTATATTCTTCTGTAGGTGTTGCTATCTTCTTTTTTCACAATTAATGTTGCAAATAGTTTGCACAACATGTTAAGAAACACCGATCCCTTAAACATTGAAGAAAAAAGAAATGTATAACTAAGAAATAAAGCGTGAATTAATTAAACGGAAAAAAGCCCCAACCTCATCCATTTCCAGGTTCTCGTCTTCCTTGTAGTTACGCCAGTTTTGTTTCAGTCGAATCTTCAAAACTGTAGCTATGACGACGAAGGTAAAAAGTGCTGCTGCGGTTGGGAATATTATGGCATTTTGGCGAACTGTGTAATGGCCAACTGTTTCAGTGCGATGTGTCGTAATTGGCTTCTCGATTTCATGCTCTGGTAAGAATGAAAAGTGAGTTCTTAAGCTTTAAACATTATCAATCAAAATGAACAACATTTAATGTGTACGAGAGTACCCGAAAGCAAAGAACACATCCAACAATGAGGCAATCTTTGTTTTTATCTTTTGTTTCAGTACAGCAGGGACAGATCAAAATTTTTTTCGGGGGAAGGGGTGAGGGACGTCAGATATTTTTTATGTCTTGCAGACAGCAGGTGGACACATATTTAATCAGTGTTTTCACAAAGTGACAAAAACGCGGAAAAGCAGTGATTTTTAGATCTGGAGTTTTTCTCTGCTATTTAAATACAATTGATTCAAGCAACATCTTCGCAGAGTGTCAAAGCAAAATGTCGTTTACCTTGCTTACTTTACATTAATTGTAAACAGACATTTGACAAAAAAGCTCGGTGGCTGTTGTTTCTCTGGTTTCACAAAGTGGCAAGATGTCCCCATGTTATATAGCAAGGTAAAACAGACAATACCATGTTATGTACGAATCATAATGAGAGAGTACGCATGCGCGTTAACAATGTTGATCATAAAAATGAGCACCAGTCTTGAAATGTAAAGAACAATGATTCGGCGTTGGGTCAATTATAACAGAAGCTTGGTTATGGATGGCGCGAACCAGCTTTAGGAACACTGATCACCTAAGTGGCAAAAGGTGTGTCCAATGTAATGGGAAAAATTAAGACCTGCAGGTTTTACTGTTTTTCACGAACTAAATAAGTTTTATTAATGAATTCCTTCTTAATATAAACAATCTTTCTGTAAGAAGTGTAGATAGGTATTTTATAACTCCTACATTTTATGACTGTTCTTAACATTCGTGAATCCTCAACAACAAACTAGTCACAAATGTGTCATTAAATGTGGAGTATTTTCAAGCGCGTTTATCTTGGAATGTCTGTTTTGCATGATAGGGGGGCTTTGTCACTTCGTGGAAACACGGACAAAATATGTAATGTATTACATGCTTACAGGTATGCAAAATTAAGGATCTCATCTTTTTTATCACAGACCCTAATTGTTGGTTTATATATATTTTTTCTTGCTTGATTGTTCGCTTTCGTGCTTTTTTTGGGGGGGGAGGGTTGTCTTAGAGCAGGAAGGTTAACTGCCGATCCTCTAGATCTGCTCATAGTCGTGCTTCCAAAGAATTCGTAGCCTTAAAGTACGGTTACGTACAAGATCATACTGCATACACGAGTAATTTAGAAAACTGATCCTACTTCACCATATTTTTTTCTTTGAAATTATTTTGACTACTTTGACTATATTTACCTGTTTTGTTCAGAAGCATTGATATCTCACGCGCCGTCTTCCCACGAAGCCGCACTCTGCATGAAATCTTTTTATGGTGAGAAAATACCTGCAGGTTCATTTGGCTTGATGTATCCCAGCTCGTGTTCTCATGTTTTTGTGATCGACTCCAATCTGCAGGAATCGACCTCTCTTCGGTTTCCCCTGGGCCATTCATAGTGATCAGCCACGTGATATTACTGGCTGGATTCGAGCCAGATGCGTTGCAGGTGAATTGGTAGGTACGACCGATCGTGACATCTGCTCTGCAAGCCTTATCACTCTCACAGAAATGGGTGGTGTTAACTTCCAGGGTCACGTTGTTCGGAAGATCTGAGGTATTGTGTAATTCGGCGACCAGAACAAGAAACCTTTACTGCGGTGGCGCAACGCTCGTAGACAGGTGATACGCGCGCGTTACATGCCTCGTCGACCAGTTAGGTGTCTGCCAAATGCACGCGCGCGTCAAGCTTTAGGATGCACGTGTTAGAGAAACTCTAGTTTAAGATGAGTCAAATTATTGACTTAACTTGATGGTTGATTGTCGCTAGTTAGGGACGTGGCAACCAACATCCTCGTGCAGATTGCGGCAAGTAACTCGCGTTTAGATTGCAACGATATTGCGCTTGGAGAATCATTGTTTCTAGTCTGCAGGTATGGCGTCCCTTAAATTATAAAGATTATAAAATGAACGGACAGTGCACCAAATTTAAAAAGCTTAATGAGCAAAAGCCACTAACCACTGAGCAAAATGTACTTCAAAACAAGCTGAAGGGAATAAAACAAAAACTACCAAATGAATACTGTGTCGATAATCGTCATAGGCTGTATCGACAAGCTGTAAAATATGAAAAACGTACATTATATGTATAGTGGCATGTTCATCAACAAGATGCAAGGCGACATAAAACTAGCACCCTGAAAACAGCCTTAGTCTTAAAAGAAGCACGGGCAGTGAAACTGAATTTCTTGTGCATGTATATGTAAAAACAAAAACACACACACTCACAGTGATGGATCATGTCAAAGAGACACACGATACAAAATAATTACTGGTTAGTAAAGTCTCAAAACCACACATTCCATTAAGACGTGTTTTAAGGCATATTTAGTAAGAATGGAAGAACTTACCGTAATTAAACATTCTGTCATTGAGAAGAAACCGTAATTCACTTTTTAACAGGCAAAATGAGGGAATACGTACCCGTAAATTCGATCCTAAGAGTTGCATTTTTTCCCTCCGGGTTCAGTGAACACATCAGGGTCAATGCAGAAATATTTAGTATTAACGTTATTTCGAACTGTTTTTTCAAGTTTAGCTCTGTGCTGTTCAAAAGGCGATCGTCAAGTTTCCAAGAAACCAAACTACTTTTCGGTATAGAGTCGCTGACCGTGCACGTAAACACAGTTTCCTGCCCCTGGGTTATGAATTGACTCTTGCTAGTAAGAATGATATCCTGGGTAGAACCTAATGCACATAATAAGACAAAATAATAGGTCAAAAATGATACTGAACATTACTGTTTTAGTCTCAAATGCTACGATTTTAAGGGTACGCGTGAATTGCAGTTAAGGTCCCGAACACTTGTCACTTTCAACCTTGCTTTACATTATAAAGGAAGACGTAAATGTATGTTTGACTCATTATTCATGATATCTATAAGCTCGTTTATACTCCCATCGTTGTGTGGTTCTAAAATGAAATTTGGTAGGCCCTACACTGTGAATTTGAGAGGTAGCTAAAACATATGGCAAAACATAAAAAGTAGGTCTGAATTTACTTACATGAACAAAGGTTACTCAGAGAAAATACAGCGAACAATGCGAGGTGGAGAGAGGAAGCCATGATGAAAGAATAAGGTTTGAAAAACGATCAGGAAAATTTAGAGCAAAATGAAACCACAACGGACATCCTCTTTAATTTCGCTTCCAATTTCGTTCTCACAAGCTTGTGACATGATTTACTCGGTCATAGTTGTGTGTGGTGAGTTTGCCAATATGCAATGACTTACAAGTTTGGTCTCTAAGCATCTGGTATGCAACATTCTTGAAACACAACAATAGTTCAAGCAGAACCATATAAACATTTTTAAGTTAAATGCTTTAGTAGAAATGGAAACGTTTGAGCGCAAATTCGAACCTGCACATTATAATAAATTACTGCAGTGGAAAAACGCTTGTCAACGGACAGTTATACGAACGAGCAGCAGTCCTCTCAGGGGTCTTTGTGACTTGTTGCAAGTGTCTGGGATAACTCTACAGGCAGGCTCTTTGTTAAACCTTGAAGTCTTCTTCACTCTCTTGGGTAAGAATTCTAAATGTCTTACCATCCACTCCTTAATCTAAGACCAGCTTGCTTCGTTATTGCAAAAGACAACATTTTTCGGTCACTCTCTTTGCTTTTCAGCTACGCTACACTGACCGAGAAATAGTAAATGCGAATCTGTTTTTGACTCTGTCAGCTTGTCCGCAATGTATGTACTGCATCAAAATTATGACCTGAATCAAGTTATTATTTGCAACTTATGCTCAATTTAATGCTCATTACACGAGCATTACAACGTTTCATTTTAACCTGTAATTTCAACGAACCGGTCAAAAAACGGAATGGATACATTTAGAAAGTACGAGAGTCAATCATAAATTTTTACTATAGCGAATTCACTATCACGTGCTATTTGCTGTTTACAACTACAAGAAGCGCAGATGTACAAGCTAATTGCGCAAACGTTTCCCCGGTAACTGACACTTCTTTATCACGCACGTGTGTGCTGTTTGAGCTAGAGAAACTGTCAGCTGGGCCGAGTATGCGCACATAAGAATCGCTCTACTTACCCACAAAAACATGGTACACAACACTTTCATGTGAAATTAGCATTTTAAAATGATTCTGAAATTACAATGACAACTAAATTATGTACGTGTTATAATCTTAGCTTACCCTCAGTCTTTGGAGACAGCAAACTAGTTCGACTACACCTTAGAAAGTAGTTTGTCAACTTCAAATACCTCGGATATCGCGTATGATTACGTATAAGACTACGTGACCGTACACCACGCGTTCGTGAAATGCACTTACGTGGCATACATAAACATTGGTTGGCCTTTCTGATATAACCATGGTTGGTACATGAAAAAGTCAGGTTTTTCTTTTTCAAGTAGGCCAAACCTTTATCTTGTAGGCAATGGAACTTACAGAGCCTCCTGGTAATTTTTCCCTGGTAGACTAGTCATATCTTATAAGCATGTTATTTCCCTGTATTTAATTAGGAAGTTAAATGTCTTTTTATATCAATGAAGTCGTTTGTCTTGATTATATTTTACATCATCTGTGTGTTCATACTTGCTACTACTCTTTTTATACACAGTTTAAAAAAGCAACAACGGCAAAAGACTATAACATCAATATTCGCTTCTACGACGCCATTTTGCTTCCCTCGTTTAAAAAACTTTAAACACGCTTAATGTTGTTCTTTGACTTTGTCTGGCTTGGAACGCCGAGCATCTCGGAGGTTCAGAAAATTGTCTGCAGAAAATATGTAAAGACGTGGAAAAAAACATAGATTTACAGTTATGACAATGCGTTAATAACAAGAAGTTTGAGTTGTTTGGATCCACTACATAAAAAAGCGTCAGTTTTCGATGGTTTACCTGTCTTTTGCAGATTTTTAGCTTTCAGTTTTTTGAAATTTTCTGATTCCCGGATTTTTTTCTTATCTGGTCCCTCCGCCATCAACGGTGGACGGTCATCGCGTTCCATTTCCGTGGCAATGGCATCCTGCGAAGTAGCAGTAGACACGGATCCCATCTCCTCCACAATCTCATCTGCCTCCATGACATGCGAACCTTGGTCTACAGAATGGATTTTGTGAAATACAATTTTGAATAGATAATGCCTTCCGTCCGTAACAGATTTTTAATCCTGGTTTCCAAGTAAATTTCAGTGTACATGAATAGAATTTTTAACCTTGGACAAAGATCGAGATATTGGACGAAAATTCGACATCTGGTGCAATCTCGTAGAATGATGGTTTACGCCAACTACACAGCGCTCTTAAACAGTCAAGAGCATAACACACCTTGATAATAATGTGACCTGTTTTTGTTGAGAATGATATTCTCAAATTCAGTCATAATCAAAGTATTAAAATCTTATTTTTTAAATTATTTTGATGGTATGGTATTTATAATACGCAATGTTTGTCAGTGAATTACTCGTATTTTATGAATTGGTAGCTTTCCTTGTAGAGCCTTTCTGATTCACCAAGTTTTGTCTTACCCCGTTTCCCATCGGCTAATGTTGGAGAGCCATCCTTTTCCTCGTCCATGGCAACATCATTCTGAGCGGCAGCTTCTACTATGGGTTCCGTCTGTATCACATTCTCGGGTGCTCCCGTGTCCTTACCTCGGGAGGCAGGTTCTGTGATTCCATTAACATGTACATTGAAACTTACAAATTAACCTACAATCAAGGAATTCAGCTCAATCGAGCAATATTAAAACTTCAGGTTTTGCAGCAAACTTTATTATCTCGTTTGTGATGTTTTTAAAGAGAGATTTGCATTAAGATTGTAAATGATTGATCAAGAGTACACAAGCGATCAAAGCGTTCTTGGACGCTGGCTCATAAAAAAGGCAGTTGAGTTATGGTCAGACCTTGACCAAAATCTATGATTTGGTTTTTTGTTAGACATTTCCTACTATGTGTTACTTGAACGGTAATACTACCTTAAATATAGCAGAGGAGTCCATGCGTGATCATTGCAAAATGGTGAGCTAAATCCTAATTACAATTTGGCCTGCCTTATTACTGTGCAAAGCCTGCATATAATGTCCGTTCGCATCATTTAAAGCGTGCGAGGAGACGTTCTGTGATAGAACTTTAGTGTCATAGTATTACAAAAATCAGTGCTGAATTTTTTCGATAACGGCGTATTCAATGGTATTACGATCATATTGGAGAGAATCGAAGGAGTCCATGTCGTGCATTTGATTTCGCATTGACCTTTATTCACAAAACGCTGGTTTGCACAGGAATTTTCACGGATAGTTGATTCATTACATAATGGAGTTTAATTAATTACCGGATCTGAGCAAGTGGCTGTCTGCCTACTTGTACTTGTGTGGACAAATATAAATTAATCCCGTTTTTAATAATCTTATAGTCAACAAATTTGTCTTAAATTTGCATTCTATTTTGTTTGTTTAATATTTAAATGTAATTGGTATTATCATTCCATATTCGCCTCCTACATACAAAATGCTAACAAATACTCAGTAATGTTTATTTGACTTAACTGTTTGGTTTAGAACTCCGAGCAACTCGCATATTCCGAATATTCTCTGCAGGAAAAGCACAGACATGCAGACATTATTGTATTCCTTCGTTTCACACGATACATGAATTGAAAAGCATTAAGTATATTTTGGATTGGAAATGTCAAAAAGTATGAAAGGTTTTGAAGGGTTTACCTGTCTTCAACGGATTTTCAGCTTTCAGTTTTTTGAGATTTTCCGATTCACGGATTTGTTTCTTCAATGGTCTCTCCGCCATCAACGGTGGACGGTCATCGCGTTCCATTTCCGTGGCAATGGCATCCTGCGAAGTAGCAGTAGACACGGATCCCATCTCCTCCACAATTTCATCTTCTTGTAAGTCGTTCGTAGGTTGTTCTGCAGAATATGTTTTAATAGCAACTTTTAATTCCCTAAGATACAGGTAAATCCTTATACATAATTGTTTGGTAAAAAACATTTTGAAAATGGAAGAGTCGTTACATGCAAACATGGAAACACGTTCTCTTAATGCAGCTTGTTTCAGTTGGGTTGCAAACGTTAATAACAATCTCAATCATTCTTTTCAAATTAATTAATTTAATTGCTGATTGGGTCTAGAAAAGTCTTCCAGTTGTCGCTGATTTGATTAACAGACTATCAGCATTCAGTTTATTTTTTTTCAATTCCCGTAGTTATACCAGTGGTTTATTTCCAAGCAAAAGACTGTCACCTTCATCTGTCTCCATGACAATGGTGTCCTGTACGTCGGATGGAAACTTAGATCCCACCTGTCCTGCGCTCTCATCTGCCTCCATGACATGCGTGCCTTGATCTTCGGAATATGTGCGTTTTAAAAATATTTATTCAATCACTGAAATAGAGGTATAAAAGTCTCATCATGGGCAATCGTTGAATATTGCAACAAACCGTCATTAAAGTTGTGAGACAAGTCAAAGAAGGAAATGGAATCAAGACATAGAGACTGAGTGATCGGCGGTTGACACACTCTGCACCACGTTGAAAAAACCCTGTGACAGTGGAGTTACATCAAACACATGCCATTGTTAGTTTTATCTGAACTTCTGACGATACCCTGGGGTAGATGCAGATCCAGAGCCAAATTTCGGGGGTGGGGGAAAACCATTCTACAAAATTACGATATACAACTCCTGAGTGGGACTTTAACAAAAGAACACAGGCATAGCAAAGGCACACCTTTGCAAGCTGTGTTAGTTGGGCATGTTTACAAATTACATATAACAGTATTAGAAACAACTTTCAAAATAAAATAGTCTATATATTTCAGTGGTAAGAAATATTCAAAGGTGTCACTAATTAACCTGATCAGTTTTTTAATTTCTGTTGTATTTTTTTTACCCATTCTCTCATCCGTCAGCGATGGATGGTCATCTTCGAATTCATCCATTTCCATAGCAACGTCTTTCTCAGGAGTTGTTGTCTTCTTAGGTACCATCTGCCTCACATTTTCACGTGCCCCTGTGTCCGCCGAAGCAAAATTTGTATTTTTTCAAGATTGAAATTTTAAGGGATTGTAGCTAAATTATACAATATTTGAATTATTTTTGTAAGGAATTTCATTTCAATGAAAGCCCAATCAAATCGTAATAAAACTAAATCTAATGTGCTCCAGGAGCAAAGAAAGAGAGAGAATGTAGACAGAAGGCTCTAAGTGAAAACACTTAGCTGAGGCATTTTGCTTAAATATGAGAATCCAACATAATCTTAAAAATCAAAAGACCTTGGCGTCGCATTGATCTACAAGCTTTCATATTCTTACTTTCCATTGGATTTGATCATTGAATGTGATGGAGATTTGAGAATCCTTCTGTAAATTTTGATTGAGTTAACATTCCTACCTTTGAGAAATCGGAAGGCAAAATACTGTTCTCCAAAAATGTATTCACTTCAAGTGCTCGTTTGTAAATATTTTTGATTCAACTGAATTCTGACCATTTTTTACGTCTAAGCCTTCACAAACTAACCTATGTCAGCCCAACTAATAGTTGTGTTCTCCTTGGACAAGTCTCTTCCTTCTTTATTTGCAGCACCACTGGCCATGGGTGCTGTTATAAGCTCTTGTTTCTCCAGTTCATCGTTGATTTTGAGGGACTCTTGGCTTTGTCCACAATCTCTTGGTTCGTCTGCT